CCTTTTCCTGTTGTGGCTTTCTGATTTCTTCCCAAAAGTAGGTTTTTCAGCTTTTAATGTAAGGCTCATGATATAGATACTTAGAAGACACAAAAGCTGGTATGTTTTAAATGTTTATATTTTTCCTCTACAAATGCACATGATGGAATCTGTTCTGGGTTTGACTTGAAATGTAGGAAATGAAGAACAGAGAGCTTTGCATGAAATTCTGTTAATGGAAACCTCAGAATTTTTGTGCCAGCCCTTAGGCCTGCTCTATTTCCCTCCTGGATTCCAGTGAGGTGTGGTAACAAATGGTATCTCCAGCAAGGAGACATTCTTGAATGGTGCTTGGTGGTATAAAAATGAACTATTTCTGCTACTATGGGAGAAAAGAGAACATTATCATCATCTCACACACACACACCCCCAGTTCTCATGGACATTTATAAACATATTCTTGTGAATAAAATACTTTGCATTGTGTAGACTGTGAGAAAAGTTAAACCAGCCAGTTTTTAACTTTCCAGTTGGTTTCAATCTCCAAGACAAATCATTCTGTTCCAGGCTGGGCTGTGTAGGCTCTTGAAAGAATAGAAATGCTGGAAGATAAGCAGCAGAGCTGAGGTCTTGTTTTGGGCATTTTTGTAACACAGATTTAGTTCCACTAGGAATATGTATATTTAACCTGACGTATATGCAACAGACTGGAAGGATTTTTTTTTTAACTTCTGTAGCTCTTGACTCCTAGAAATAATTTAAGACTATAAGAGTATTGCTTCTTAAACTTTTATTTTTGGAACCTCTTAATCTATTTGTAACAGAGAACAAGGTCATAGAGTCCCTACAAGCTTTATCCTTATTTCCTACAAATCTTATTAGTGTTCTGGAGCACAAGCAGCCAGTTATATCTTAGTCCTGTACATTCTGGTAAGATCCAGAGGTGCTAACTAATGTGACAGGGAGACAATGAAATGTAGTGTTAGGAATGTCTCTGCAGGACAGGTTTCCAGCTCAGTGACTGCGTGCCACGGGCAGTGCAGTGTTAGTAACAAAAAGCCCTTTGAACAAGGGAAGAAGTCCCTTCATGTGGTCACCTGTGTTGTACAGTAGCAATAAAGTAGCTGGCAGCTGGTGAAGCTGGCTTTTCCTGTTTGCTGCTTGACTCCCAGAAGCAGCAGCTGATGATCCCAACAGAGCCACAGGGCTACGCTGCTGTTCAGTGAGGAAGGAGCACTTGGGAGGATGAATTCCATGTGGGGTGCTGCCCACATTGCCCTCTGTTACACTCCCAAGCACTCCTAAACTTAGCAGGCATCCAAAATCCATAGGCAGGTACTTGGAACAACAGACTGGGGAAAGCACATGGGTAAGCAACAAAGGGAAAGCTGAGAGGAAAGTACAGAAAGCCTTTGATCAGTTTACAGAAGCACTTGAAAATGCCAAATTGCATATTGAGAAACTTGATTTTCATCTAGATATTTTTCTGCAATTTAGTAATAAATTAATAATACAATAATAATTTATAATGCAGTATTTAATTTCTTGCCTTCCAGAAAATGTGATGAAAATTAATGTAGTGTGTGATCACCTAAAAATTATCAGTTCCATTTGACCATTTGAAGGAAAATATGAAACAACCTGGCTATGTGTTTTTTTCAGGGGAATGATTTTTGTCAGAGGACATTCCTATAAACCACCTAGATCAACAGATATCAACAGTATAATTAGCCTATTTTTTTAATTAGTAAGTGGCAGATTGAGAGCAGTTACTGACTCAGGTTTGTTCTGGGTCATCAGCTGCTCAGTATTTTGCCAGATGATTGAGAGGGGAAAAAGAATTAAGATGCTAATTAATGTGGATCATGCCAATCTAAAAATTTCAAACAATTTGTAAGATATATGTAAGGAATATAAAGTTAATGTGTTTCAATGGTAGATGAGTAAAAATAATTGCCTGCACTGTATTTTCTGAAAAACAGCTTTGTGGTGTGTGGGAGGGGTAGGCTTGTGTAGACTTGGTTATAAACAAGGATATTTTGACTTCTGGGCAGAGCAGCCAATTATAAAATATTAGGAAAGTAGGGCACACAGTGAAGCATTTGCAGCAAGGGAGCGCTGCAGGATTTTTGCTGAGAGGGCATTTCCAGAAGGCTTAATGACTGGGAATCCCTAGTAAATAAGAAGGGAATAGAAGAGCCATGTAGGTTAAATGTTACCAAGCACTTAGGCACTGACCCAAGCTACAAAATCATTTTCCCGAGTGAAACCAGATGTGGACTGTGAAAGGTATTCCTTGTAAGTGATCTGTGGGTAAATTTTGTAGAAATATGAGGTCCTCCAGGATTGTTTCTGAAGGATTTGGAAATGTGGCTTTCCTAATTTAAGGACCTAATCTTGTATATATACATTTATGTATAAAAGTATATATACAGGAAAAATAAATAGAAAATTATAATTACATATTCATTAAGTATAATCATTATAATTAATACCTACATGAACTATAATTAACATACAACAATTACATGTAAATATGTCTTGAGTGCAGATTCTTTTGACCTAACTTCTGTTGTGAACTGGCAGCTAATACCCTGAAAACCCCTGCTCCTCAGTTATTGGCATTTGCATAAATTGTTAATCACTCCTCCCACGGGTTGTGCAGCAGCGCTGGGCTGAACATTGCAGTGCTGTGTACCAGGGCACATGGGAGCTGCTCCTGCTCCACGAGGAACAGCAGGGGGCTGCCCTACATAGATGAATAGTTCCTTTTTTCTTGCTGTCCAGCAGTACAATCTAACAGACTTGAATGAAAGTTTAATTTACACCAAAGCTTCCTGGCTGCTTCAGTCATTTGTGGAGTGACATATCTATGTTGTCTGTCTGTTAACTTTTTGCTTTCCAGCTCTCAAAGAGCTGGGTATGTGTCCAGTTGTATTCATGAGATCTTGACATTTACTTTGCTGTACAGATTAAAAATAGCAGCTGCTGTTGGTTTCAGCATATCAGATGATTGCAGCAGAGCGAGTGGGCTGCTGTCCTTCCTCCTGAGGACATTTGCCAGGGGTAACTTGAAGAAGTTTTCAGTGCTCACGTGTTTCAGGGGCACAGATAAAGAGGAGAAAAATGGTTTGTGGATGTATGAGAGGAGGAAGGATAGGAAAGGGAAAGGGCTTCTTCTGTTACTTGTTATTTGAGATGTGATTAGATTTCTCTTGCATTAAAGCAGCATATTAAAAAAATATGTCCTCAGCCAATTAATGTTACTGTTACTGCATTCCAGTTCAAAAATGAGCACAGCACTAATACAACATATGCAGAAGGAGAGGGGTTTGTATTGGCTCCGAGGTCTCGGTGTGTTTTCAGTACACTTTTCCATGGGATTACTTGTTTAAGCTGTTGGAGCTTTCCCTACAAGCAACTGAAAAGCAGATTGTTAAAGAATATATATGAATGGCAGTGACTATTAGGTCTGTAGAGGAGTTTTACATCTCAGCCTTCAGGGGGAACAAAGGATCCCAGACAGAAAGCTATGTTCCTAAAGATTGAATGTGATGCTCTGTAGTACTGTTAAAAACTCCTGTAGATGTTCTAGAGTTTGGAAAGAACAAATGTAGACCAAATAGCTCATGGAGTGGGAAGTCTATTCAGGTCAACCACTGGCACAGGAAAGAGTGGAATTTTAAATTGCTGTTGTGAAATTGCAGAAATTTAAGTGGTTATAGATGTTCTACATAGTTTGGACATATTTTTGAACTTACCTGTGGCACTGGCAGGTTTTATTAGAATTATTTCAGGCAAATAGACTTTGCTCTGATTCCTTCACCTTTATATGAACTGTTGGCCTATGCTGTGTGTCTGGGGACATTGGCAGAAACCAGTTAAGACAGAGAAACCTGAATTGCAGCTTTCCAGAATCAGTGAAGGAAAGAAAGGCACTTGTGTTACCACTGGTTTATTTCCATAAACAAAGGTTAACAACATAGGTCTTGTCAGCAAAGTGCTCGTGAACTATCACAAGCTGCTTCCCAGGACTGGAGTGGCCAAATCCAGCTCAAATGTTTCTGTCAACATATAAACTCAAAATATGAATTTCTTAAACATCTGTGTAGTTCTTGTGTCATACTGGGACATTTGAATACTTATGAACTGAAACATATTTTTCTTCCCTTAAATATACCCAAAGCTACTCGTTTATAGAGCTGAGATGCTTTTTATTCAGCCTGCACCTTGGTAATGGAAATGCTTACCCTGATAAACAGGCTGTGGACTGACAGCCAGAGAATGCTCTGTTCTTAATTGTGACTTTACCAGTTACTGCAGTGACCACAAGTGCAGGAATGCAGGCCTTATTTCAGTCCCTGTCTTGCAGGTAAGTTAAGTAGGAAGAGATGTTGCCTGAGGGATCTGTCATTCACTTCCTTTCGGAATTATTCTGTGAAAAGTGGGATTTTCTTGGCTCAGAGAAAAGGAGAGAAAAGCTCCTACCTTAATGGCTAGGTCACACCTAGGAAGATGGGGAGTATCTAGCCTCCCACACCCCTGCACAGCTGATGCTCTGGGAAATTTGCTTTTCTAGTTCGACTGCAGGTTATTGTGGTGGTTTGGGTTTTTTGTTACCTTTCTGGGTGTCGTGTGGACTGGGAGTTGTGCAGCCCCCCACACAGGAAGGAGTTAGTGGTTTATTGAACTGTTTAAACTTTTGTAATTTAAGCTAGCAGTCAAAAACCACCAACAATCCTTCCTTGGGAAGGAAGAATGCATTGCCAAAAATCATCAGAGAGAAAGAAGATACTTCAGAAGAAATGAATGAAGTGTTTGTGTAGAGGGATCAGCTTGGCTCAAAGAGCAGCACTCTACGACCACAGTGCAGAGATCTTTGTGCTGTGGGTTAATTTACTTCACCTAGGTATTCCTAGGCTCAGTGTGCCTTTACACATTCAGCTGCAGAGGACATTCTTTTCAATTTCATGGAAAGATCATGTGCACAGATTCCTGAGTTTTGATTTCTTCTCTCCAAGATTATTACAGTCCTGCAATGTTGGGCCTGAAAACTGATCAGGAAGTCCTTGGAGAGCTTGTGAAAATGAAAGTTCCAGCTGTGGCAGAGCTGATGGAAAGACATGGAGTCATGTGGACCCTAGTGGTGTCACGCTGGTTTATATGTCTGTTCATTGACATTCTTCCAGTGGAGGTAATTGGTAACATAAAGTTCTGTTACTGCACCCTGATTATTTCACTTGTACTGCTTTAGTAATAATTGCTTACTGGCAATCAAGGTTCATCTGAATTCTCTCCTTTACTGCAGACTGTGCTCCGAATATGGGATTGTTTATTCTATGAAGGGTCAAAGATCATCTTCCGTGTGGCCTTAACATTGATTAAGCAAAACCAAGCTTTTATTTTGGAAGCCACGAATTTCCCTGACATTTGTGATAAATTTAAGCAGATCACCAAAGGAACATTTGTAACAGAGTGTCACAGCTTCATGCAGGTAAATTCTCTGCAGCTTTTAGTCATTCCACATTAAAACCAAGGTTGACTTAGAAATGTTTTTCACTGAGCAAAAGATGGATACATTTGGGAGAAACATAGCTGTTAGGATTGTTTTTTAAATAAGAAACTCAAACCTTTCTAATACATATATTAAATAGTCTATATTTAATAACTGTTATAAAGGAAATATTCTTTTTAATGGCTATTCTCTAATTATATATATAGAAATCCATCCACATTTTCTGTCATACAAGGAAGAAAATTATTTTTGCCCTTTTTACCAGTTATGGCAGGAAGTCTAATGAGAAGATAATTTTAGTGCATTTTTCCAGTGAACTGTGGATATTGATCCTGTGCAGTTCATTTTCAGATGAACTGTAAATACAGTATAATAGAATAAGCACAAAGTGAATTTTAAACTTGCACTGATAAATGGCTGTAGTGCCTGAACACACAGCATTCTGTTTAGAACAAGATGGTACCAGCAGGTTCTTATTTCCAGACAAAAACCCATGAAGGTGAATGTCCAAGTGTTACGACAGTCTGCAAGCTAAGGATTATTCTTTTAAATTATTAATACAGTGAGTACCACATCAGTATAAAACATTAGATTCAGGGCTTATCTCAGAAGATGGAATCATAAAAGGTGGTAGCTGCAAAACAAGTAACTGGAGCACATCTGTCATAAATCACTTTGTCAACTCTACTGTCACTGTTTGCTCAATGTGCACAAAACCATGTCCTGGAGAAGTGCACTGGTGCTTTGTCACATTACCCAGGACAGTTTAATATGTTCTAAATATGGCACTTTCCACCACCTGCCATCTAAAATAATCTCAACTGGACACACATTCAAACCAAATCTTCTATTGCTGCTTTTGTGTAACTTACTGCACTTGTTATGAGCTGCAGGTTTACTGTGTGTTTACAGCCCAGAAGATGAAGAGGTTACCCTGTTACAGGCAGGCCAAAGAGCAGTGAGCAATTTCACAGTATGGACATTGAAGCAGGAATTTCACACCTCAGAGAATTATGTGAGAATTCTAGCATGCTGTCCAAAGCCAGCATTTTAACTAAGAATTTTCTTCTTTTGCCCTCAGAAAATATTCACTGATCCTGGAAGCTTATCCATGGCAACAATCAACAAACTCCGAGAGACTTGCAGGGAGAAGGTGCTTTCTCAGGGATAACATGCCAGATGTAACCAGGTGGTCAGATACTACAGCAATTGACACATTCCTCTATTTGCACTGATTAAAGCACACTTTAAGCTTTCCATGAATTAATTGACACTTGACCAATTTTTCCTGCCTTTCAAGTAAGTGTGTTAACACTTTGTACTGTATGTCAGATTTGATAACTGGAACTGGTGGTTCTGTTACTGTTTGTTGGTGGTGTGTTGTTTTTATTTTTTAAGGATTAAGGTATCTTCAGACTAGAATGTGATCAATGTCAGGACCCTCCTTTTAAATAAACAGTCCCAGGGAATTTTGTAATACTAAGAGCAAACAGATGTATAAAATTATGTATTACTGTGTTAACTGTGACACCATTACCATTTGTACAAAATAAATTAATTTAATTTGTCAGAACCTGTTTTGTGGTGTAGAGAGAAAATTATGTGACCTGACTGCCAGTCACTGGATGGAATACAAGCAACTTTCTCCTCACTGCTCTCACTTAAGGAACTCAAAAAGTGCAGGGCAAGAGAGCAGTGATCAGCACTAGCAGTTGATCTATGCAGTGTGAGACAGAGCAGCTCCCACAGCAGTGCAATTCTCCCACACCCATGCCCCTAAAAATTTGAGGAGAAACACTTGTAAAGCCATCCACAAGCAGATTTTGTTGACAGGGGAAGACACGGCATCGTTCCTAAGCCTGTATTGGCACTAGGCCACTTCTAGCCCTGCTGGGGCCAGGAGTCGGGGAATTGCTTTCCTGTCCGTACAGAGCCCTCTCGTGGCCAAATTCTCTCCTTCCAGCTGGGGAAAGGAGAGACAGCTGGAGCATTTTGTGGGGTTTTATGTTCCACGTGCAACAACTACTTTTGAACAGTACTCCACTCTCTTTTCATTTCTCGTGAAACATGGCTTCCCCCTATCTCGCAAATTGAAATGTTTTCATTCCTCAGCAGAAAAAAAAACAAATCACCTTTTTCAGAGGAAGTACAGGAGTGCACTTTAGACAACTAAAGACTGCTACTCAACAGTAATTCTGAGCTATCCTATCCTTTATGGTACCAGACATACACATTCTCTTTAAGTACTGAATTATAAGGACAGTAGCAGTAACATACTTCTAGCATGTCAGCAGGTAGTGGGAAGCACTGTTCACTACTAGGAAAATTCACAGCTTCCAGGTACCTCCAAAATCGCAGGGTTTGGTCCACAGGCAGCCTTCCTGCCCTGCATTAGGCTCTCTTGGTCAGGAGTGTTCTGTGCAGTGCTGTGGTGTGCCCCAGTTGCTGCCCTGCAGAGCTGGTACTGTTAACACCAGAGCCTTCCTGCAGGAGGGAGTCAGGGAAGCTTTAAACACCAAGGTTCATTTCCAACACCTAACAAGGCACATGGCTCTCAGCAGATGTGAGTTTCCTACTTTCTGGAAAGTAGAAAACTTCAAAACCAAACATGAAATGTCATTTACACAGTCCTTAGACTAAGAACCTTAGCAGTACTGTCAGAAAGTGAGGCTTAGGCAGGCAGACTGGTATAGCGACATGTCTCAGGAAGTTTAAAGAGTTAACTCCTCCAGGTCTCAGGTTACCAGCACATAGCTTTCCTTGTTTCCAAACACAAAGTGCAAACCGAACCTGATTCCAACGCACACACATTAAGGTTTTCCTTTGTGCCACAAAGAAAAAATGTAAGCACTTATTTAACTCCACACTAAAGATTGTCTCAATCTTCCCAAGTATAGCCAAACCATGACTTCATCCCTCAACAAATGGTTTTAAGAGTGATCAGCAATACTAAGAAATACAGAAAAAAAAGTGTCTTTATTAGCATTGTTACAGGCAATGCATACATAAGAACTGATCCTTAAAGTGTACAACCCCCCAGCCAAGTTTAAAGCAATAGAATCAGCAGATTGAGATCTATATTGTACACATGTGCAGTAACAGGATCTCTCTGAACCTTCCAACAAAACAGACTGAAATAACTTTACAAAAAAAAGTAAATAAAAATAACACCCATTTTAAAAAAGTACCAGCTCCTAACAAGCTGGCATAGCATCAAAAATATCAAACAGGGGAGTTGTCCAATCATAAAGAGTTCCTGTAAGGTTTGAGTATTGCGTCGTTCACACCCTGCATGTGCCAGGCCAGTTTAAAGCTTAGTAAAAAATACACACCTAAGAGACAAGGTGAAGTTCAGATTTTAGATTTCGATTTTGTCAGTTGTTACTACATTTTTTGAAATGCATCATCAGTATACTTAACATCATCGCTCAGTGGCAGCGGTGCAAATAATGAACTTTTCCCTTTGTTAAGAGTTCTGAAGTTGAGTCAGAGTTAGCAACATCCCTCTCTGGAATCTGTAGCTGACATAATCTTACGCCAATTCCAAAAAAGCACCCTTAAAAACTTTTAGCTTGTTTCTAAATGGGTAAATATTAAAACTAGTTAGCAAAATTAAACACCAGAATCTTCAGAAGTTATTTTTGTGCATAGTTAAATGCTGCAAGATGATTTCACATTTAATAAAGCAGACTTTAAAGAAGCAATTTGCAAGAAAAGATGTTACCTTACAATATCAACCAGTTCAGGGGAAACGTAGGGGGATTTTCCCCCCAGCCTCTTGCAATTGCTTTTCCTCTATGCTGGATTTTAGTGCAAGTAATTAAATTGTTTGATATCCAGCATGGCTCCTCTTTCTGCCAATCAGGTAAGCAATCAAGACAATTAGAACAAGACCAGCAAGGGCTGCACCAACTATTATAGGGATCAGCATGTTATTTTCATCCAGTTGGCATTCTTCCACTGAAGAGAGAGAAAAAGATCCACGTTAGGTACTATTGCACCAACAGATGGCTACATCCAGAACTTCAGCATTCTGCTCTCAGCATGTCGATAAAACTGGCTCAGCTAGCTTGTCAACAATGAAAAGGAAGCCAGGTCCACTAACTGTGATCATTCAGGATGAAGTCTTTCTAGTACCAGCTGGATGCACAATATGGAGATTATACTGATTGTTTCCTCCTCAAGAGCTGTTAGTTACACACAAATTTAGCCATCATAAATATCCATGCAACCCTTCCCACAGTCATTTTGCTTTCATCATAGTCACAAGGGACAGGTTTGTCCCTTTCACACAACTGTCTGCACACAGTTTGGAGGGAAAGGTAGCACCCTTCCTTAACTCTTCTCTGGACCATCAGGAACAAGTCCAAGTTGTTTCACAGCTTTTTACATACTTCTCACACCAGCCTCAACTTGGACATCTTAATCAGCCCCCACATCATCTGTAGTGGGGCATGCAGAGGCTAAGCATAGCACCCACAAGCTGACATTTGACTACAGAATGTTGTATTTATATCAAAATATACTTCACAAATCTTGGTTTGACAGGAGCTGCCAAATGCAAACCTCTTACCTGGTCCAAATTTGTCTCCATCAATCTTGAAAATCTGGACCTGAACATTAAATACATTGACAAGGGCTTGGTCCGAGACCTGCAGGTTCTCCTCAGAACTGCACTTGTAGGAGTTCCCTACTGAAGCTCTCAGCTCGCTCATGCTGTTGTTTGATGCTTCAAATTTGGGATCTGTGTAAGAGAAACTCTTGTTATATAAATCTGAAGAGCTATAAGCTCATAAAGCCACAATTTGATACACTCATCCCCAACACTTCTCATACATTATTTAGTGCAGGCTACCTTTAATATTTAAAGAAGTAGTCACAGAGAGTAGATTTTTAGAAGTCCTTACTTTTTGCTTCAGGAGGCAGGGTCGTGCTTACACTCACACCTTGCAGGAAGAATTTTTCAGCACTTGCATTCTTTAAAAAAAACAAAGAGCAACGAATCAGTAGTTGTCATTTAAGATGATGATGTACAACGTAAGCTGTTCACGTTCAGGTACCAATCTGCATGCATTTTGAGAAAGGTTTTTAAAATGTAGACCTCAAATGGGATTGGCATCCAGAGGAGGTGTTTACTTGGACTTGAGGAGAGAAAAGCTACAGAAAGTATGCACCTTAAGGAAGGTTATTTTGTCAGAGGGCAAAAAGCTAGAGAAAGGAGGCCTTGACACCCCCAAACTGTTGACTTGACTTCCACACTGCAGGCATAGTCCCACCCATTGCCTAAGCAGCCTACTTGCAGTGAACTCAGTACCCCACAGAGCTGTAGAGTCATTTAATAGCAACAGCTCAACGTGATCAACATAAAAAGGAGCATGAAGCTCTGACAAGCAGTGGATTCAGTCCTCAAAGGTATGCAGCTCCAATACAGCACCTGGGGCAGGGCTGTGGGAAACAGGATTCCCAACCATCATAGGAGAGCAGAAGACAAGAACACTTGGTCTTTGGGCTGTAAACAGAATATTAATGAGGACTTAAATCCAGCTAGAGGCTTAAAATTAGATCAGATGCCCACTTGTCACAGGCTGCTCTCAGTTTCAGCAAGAAGCCTTAAAGAGTAAGCAACACAATCTTCAAGGAAGCTCCCACTCCAAACAAAATACTTTTCTGTGTACACATATGTATGTGTGCATATATACACAAACACATTCTTTTCACACAGTGGTAACCAAGCATAAAACCCACTAATCCTAGTATTAAAACCAAGGGAACTAGTTACTCTCTTTGTAGCTGTCTTTTTTCCTCTTGCCCCAGTTAGTTTTCCCACATGGAAAATGCTGCAGACCCTACACACTTGGTGCAGAGATTCTTACCAAGGCAAACTGGAAGATAACCCTCGTTTTGTCAAAAGTCAGGTTCAACAAGGCAGATGTATTGTCACATTTCCCAGAAGAAGTTGTATTCTGTGGTATGAAATTCAGCAAATCCAAACCCATCTGTGAGAGAAGAGGAACAATTATGACACTTGAAGAGACTGAGCACATCACGTTACACTCAGCTGAGGTGTGGCTGGCTTGTGTCTCGTGCCTACAGTGTTGTGTTTGCCCTGTGTTCCAGGCACCAGGGCAGAGCTGTGCAGGCTGCACCTGAGTTACCAGGCTGACACACAACTAAGGCCACATCTAACAAAGCTTTCTGCAGCCAAGAACCCAACTGCTTTCTCCACACAAACTGCTTTGGTCCTTGTAGCATAAGAAAAAACATCAAGAACTACCACACCACACAGAGGGCAAGATGCTATAAAATACTGCTTTGACATAAGGTAGAAGCAATTAAGGGAACCACCTGTCAGCACAATCATCATGCATGTCATTTCAGTTCAAAATGTCTTAGTTTTGTCCATGGTTCGTGATTTTATACTGTCTTGCATCTACAGAAGGCTGTGGGTTAAATGCCCCTTGCCAAACAATTAAATAGAAACCCTTTCAGTAGCTCTCAGCTGATCCTCGTGTGACCAGAAAACCTACTTGCCACCCCCTCAGTGGTCATTACACTAGAAATCAGCTGTTCCACCAGAAGCAGGACACCAGAAGCAGGGAATTTCACACAATTAAGGTGGCTAAAACACAGTTACCATCACAACAAGCCACTGTACAGCCACACACCAGCTGTAAGTGATCATGATTTTACCTTTCAGTCATCAATATCATAAATAAATGCAGTAGCTCCTTTTGCAAACCACTGTTTCCTGTTGGAGGGATTAGCAAGCCAGACTCTGCACCAATAGTGGAGGGAAAGAATTTGTGCCAGGGCTGCATCTTACATAAACCTTGTATTTTTCTTTCTTTTTTTTTTACTAATAAAATCAGCTGTAAAGTAGCTTTTAAGCATCAAAGTGAAACTCAAATGTCTTCAGTGCTGGCTGAAGGGTAATTAAGTCAGAAGCCTGTCCAGTTTTACAGTACTAATTTTCTCTTCTACTAGTCGTTCACTCTTTCTACACCTCAGGCCAAATTTCTGTATTTCATTTAACAGTTCAAAAATCTTGTTTTGATTGCAACTTTGATAACAGGATTCCCCTAGTTATATCTTGGTAATTTTTACTACTTCTCTTAAATGACCATATATACACTTCCTAAATTCAACAGACAAGTTTAATACTGCTTTTAGTGAATGGCATAATCCTTAAGAATCACTTTCAGTACAAGTGTTTGGAATGTCACTAGTCCAGATCTGGTTAAGCAATTCAAATACAGGATAATGATGGATGAACACAAACACCCGGGTTTCTAAAAGAAAAAGGTCAGCTTATAATAATTTACCAAGTCTTCCTCAAAGAAGAAAATTGAAGGCTTTGAAGAAAAAAATCAAAATGTACCTTTTCATCTTTTTTTGGATAGGTGATATTAAGCTGTAAGCCCATGTAGGCAAGTACACAGGTTCCATTTGGACCAGTCACATTGTATTTACCAACTGCAGGATTTGTGGGTGATGCTGTTGGTGCTGGGCTAGCTGTTGGAGTAGTCTGTTTAGGAGTTGTAGGCGCCATAGTAGTAGTAATGACCATATCTTCAGCACATTCTGTCTCTGCAGAGAAAGGAAAACAGTCATTACCAAACAAAATCAAGATGTGGGATGATCTACCTTTTTAATCCTTGAGGGAAAGGACAATGCAGTTTCAAGTAGCTTTTTTCTAATAAAAGATAATAAAAGCTCAGAAACACAACGGTAAAGCATTACCTGAAATCTTGTTGCAAAGTCTGAGACCCTTTAAAGCATGCCATGAGAAAATGACACCTCTGCTGGTAATTTACTGAAGCTCATGGTGACCACATCCACTCTCCTTCACATCCATCATTTCGCTTTGCCATTGGGTCAGAGTAAATCTGTCAGGGGCAGCATTCCTGCTGTCTGTTCACAGCCAGGCTGGGATCCCTGGGTGCTCGTGTGGGAAAAGCACAGGAACAGTTCTGCTCACTGTTCAAAGTGGTCTCCCAGGAGATGTATTCTCCTTCCACTCACTCTCATTATTTTGGCAATAACCAGAGTAGCCTTAATATATTGCTCTGGCTCTTCTGTCCTTAACAAGGGGATTCTAAGACACTGCTTCTGATGCCAAGTTTTCTGCTGTATCCTCTCACATTCATCCTCCCTTCAGCCCTGCACGAGGAGCCACCCTCCACGGGGTCAAGGC